GGTGAATCAAGGAGGTGCAGGCTAGGGGGATCTCTGAGACCTTCACGGGCAGCAGAGAGACAGCTACAGCAGGCAAGAAGGCAGCTCAGCACAACGGCAGCTACTGAGTAGCCAATACTGTTTCAAACTATGGGAGTCTGATTCCAAACGGTTTATTTTAGGAATCCTTAAACACAGCACAATTTGGTGAAAACTATTCTGGTTAACTCAATCCCATGCGCACAACGAAGCTTACATAAGTGATCTCCTCAGGAACAAAATAAGCTAAACACAGATCTGATGCATCTACATTAAAAGGTGGTTTATTGTAAAGTTCATAAAGATAGGTTCTATAGATTGATTGAAAAAAATTATGATAAGGATCTTGGGGAAGATCCAGTGCTGGAAAAGTGTATAGCCAGGGCTGGAGAGATGGCTCAGTGGTTAAGAGCACTGACTGCTCTTCCTAGAGATCCTGAATTCAATTCCCAGCAATCGCATGGTGACTCACAACCATCTGAATTGGGATCCGATGCCCTCCTCTGGTGCGTCAGCGACAATGTCATATACAATGGTGTGTCATATACATTAAATAAACAAATAAACAAACAAACAAATAAATAAATCTATCTTTTTTTTAAAATGCACAGTCAGAGTCACCAGATTACAGGCTAGAAAGCACGTCCCCTCCAGCCTTCTGGATACAGAACAGGTTTTGCATTCCTTCCCTTGAAGGAACAACCCAATGTGCTTAACTTCCTGGCCCCCAGTACGTGTCTGTGAGCACAGAGACCTCTGTGCCCTACAAGAAGAAAGGCTGGAGCTGACTTGAGTAACCCAATGATGCCAGGCCAAGACCTCACTAAGGTTGTCCCTTTCTTCTGTACTGCTCCATAGTGACAGGATAGCTAGATTGTCCCTCCCTGTTCAAAGCACAGAACATGAAAGACCTGGCCTCATTCTCTCTTATGAACAAACAAAAGCTTTCCCAGGAAATACTTTAGCCAACCCCTGAGAAATCACTAGCTGCAATCTGGACCACTTCCAAGCCGTCAGGAAGGTGGAAAAGAGAGCCCAGGATCCGGGGCATCTGAAGGACCAGTCAGATTCCGTCATCAGAGACTGAGTATCCAGAGACTCTCTCAAATCCATGTGGCTGTCACAGAGGGAGGTGAGAGCTGGATACCAAGCTGGAAGCCAGCAGGTTCTGCCACATAGTCTGTCTGTGCTTCAAGCTCCTTACACACATGTCAATCAAGGTAAACATCACATTAATGTATGGAGAAGACATGTGTCAACATGTCTGTGTTTCCTAAACTGACAAGTCCTAATACAGGCTCACATTAGAAACTCCTGGGGGGTGCCGGGTGGTAGTGATACACGCCTTTAATCTCAGCACTTGGAAGGTAGAGGCAGGCAGGATCTCTGTGAGTTCGAGTCTAGCCTGGTCTTCAAACTGAGTTCCAGCTAGCCAGGGCTACACAGAGAAACCTTGTCTCCGACCCCACCCACCTCCTCCCAAAAACGAAAAAGAAATTCCTGGGGAAAGTTGGAAGCATACTAGTGCCTAGAGTCAATGCATGGAAGTTTTGACGTAGTCGTTCCAGATGAACCGTGGCACAAACGGCTTTTAAAGCACTTCCAGAGAGTCCAACATGGAGACTGGTTTTGAACCATGGCTACAGCACCTTAGGACAGAGGTCTGTTCAGTGCACTCTTCACCTTACATACTGGAGCATCAGGCTGACAGGAAGTCCTCACTGCACGAAGAAACCAAAAGTGGGGGAGGGTGTAGAGATGGCTCTGTGCTGGGGACCTGAATTTGGTTCCCAGAACCCTGTCCATTTTTACAAAACCACTTGTAATTCAAGCTCCAGGGGATCTGATATTCTCTTCAGGCATCTGTACTCAGGTGGACACACCTCCCAGAACACACACATACACAGATGTGCAAGCATGCGTGCACACACAGACACACACACACACACACACACACGTGTGCTTTTTAAAAATAATACAAATAAATCTTTGTCTAAAATGGCTAGGCACAGGGGGGAGGAGGTATGGGATGAGGAACAGTCAGAGGGCAGACCGGGAGAGAGATAAAGACTGGACTGTAAAAAAAGATTAAAGAATTTAAAAAAAAATGGCTGAGCACATCTTCTCCTCTGACTTCTATTGGTCTACACGCTGAGGTGTGCACGGTCCTAAGCACAGTTTCCGAGCCCCCTGGCCCTGTACTTGGTCTCCCTTTATTAACCACAACCACAGCTCCAGGTGGCCTCACCCGTAGGCGGATTGCCAGCTGCTCTTCTAACTGCCCTGTGGCACAAGCCAGTCCCACGCTGGCTTGGCAGATGACCTAGTTCATAAAGATAACTCTGCAGCAACAGCCAGGCTCAGCCCTTGGACCTTGACTAATCACCCTGCCAGGATAAGAGAACAGCAGGATGGGACGGCTCAAAAATGTATTTCCAAGCACTTAGTGGCAGAGTGTCTAGCCTTAACTCGAAAGCAACTCACACAGAACAAGTGTAAAAAAAGAAAGAATATGTGTGTGTGTGTGTGTGTGTGTGTGTGTGTGTATCACCTGATCTTCAGACAGACATGAACCTGAGAAATGCCCCTACCAACCTCACAAGGATGTGTCAGAAGTGAGCACGTTCCCAGAAGTGATAACGCAGGGTTTAATGTACGGTTCCCTACTGTCTCATCCTATCCCCATCATACTTCTTTTTTTTTTTCTTTTTTTGTTTTGTTTTGTTTTTCGAGACAGGGTTTCTCTGTGTAGCCCTGGCTGTCCTGGAACTCACCCTGTAGACCAGGCTGGCCTCGAACTCAGAAATCCCCCTGCCTCTGCCTCCCAAGTGCTGGGATTAAAGGCGGGCACCACCACTGCCCGGCCCCATCACACTTCTAAAACAGCGTTCTCAAAAGCAAGTCACCAGGACAGTCTCATGACATACAGTGTCCATAGTTCCAGGAGAGCTCACATCAGTGCTTGTAGTAACCTTGGGCTGGGTTTTGCACTTTGCTATTTAAATTCTTGAAATTCTTAAGTTTGTAAACAAAAGGCCTCGCATTTCATTTGGCACCGGACTCTACAGTTATGTGTCTGATCAAACACAAACTCTTATGAAAAACCAGCAAGATTTGGGAAGCTAAGGAAGGAGAAGAGTGACTTTAAGGCCATCCTGGGCTACATCGTGAGAGAATATCTCCGAATATAAATAAATATATATCAAATATAAAATATATCAAAATATAAATAAATAATATTACTACTACTAATAACAACCCAGCAAGGCTGTCAACCTTCCTAATGCTATGACAGTTTAACACAGTTCCTCATGTTGTGGTGACCCCCCAGCCATAAAATTAATTTCATTGCTTCTTCATGGCTGTAATTTTGCTACTGTTATGTTATTAAAAGTAATGTAAATATGTTTGGCAGTGGTCTTAGGTGACCCCTGTGAAAGATCGTTTGACATCCCCCTAAGGTGTTGTGATCCATAGGTTGAGAACAACTGATCTACATAGCCATCCACATCTGTGACTTCGGGTCATCCCTGCCCCTGAAAAACAGAGCAGGTGATTGGCGCGAGAAAACCTGTCTTGGTGTTACAATCAAAAAGTCAAGTCAGACGGTTCTGGAAGATGTAAAACAGCAGCGTTCGCACTTCACTTTCTGTCACGCCCATTCCGCAAGGAGCCTCTCCACACTCTGCCTTTGTGCAGACACGAGGCCTCAGAGGTACACACAGAACACTCTGCAGACCTCAAATCCTTCCTTCCCACCACCCACTGAACATCAGGAGAGGGGATGCAGCGGAAGGGTGGGGCCCGCAAACAATCATTAGGATGAAGGGGCCTTGAAGAATAAGTCATCCCGGTCTCAGGCTTGAAGAAGGACTCAAAATGCCATCCTGGTGGGCTGGAGAGATGGCTCAGTGGTTAAGAGCACTGACTGCACTTCCAGAGGTCCTGAGTTCAAATCCCAGCAACCACATGGTGGCTCACAACCATCTGTAATGAGATCTGATGCCCTCTTCTGGTGTGTCTGAAGACAGCTACAGTGTATTCATATATAATAAATAAATAAATGTTTAAGGAAAAAAAATGCCATCCTGGGAGCCCAAGAACATCCGAGTTGGCCTCTAGTTCGGTATTGAAAATTTGGCAGGAAAACTCATAAATCACCATATCAGGCTTCAAGAACCTTCAGGAACCCCTGTCAACTCCTAGAGCGACCATAAACAACAGCAAACTGAAACTGAACCACAGCGCCGCCTGGTGATCAAGAAGGTTGGCCCTGTGAAGATTCGGGGCATCCTCCGAGGAAAAGACAGGCCCCATGGACCTACAGAGAACAAAAAATAGCGAGAGGGGCCTTGTGTTGCAAGTTGCTAAGGTGGAATCACAGGTGTTCTGCCCCCAGAGCAACCAAGCCACCATCCTTTTGGCCAGCCAGGCTCTGGGCAAGAAAAGGAGGTTCTGGGAGGCAGTTCCCAGCAGCTGACAGGAGATAGACACTGCTGGGTTGTAGGAGGAAAACCCGGGACAGTGAAAGGAATCCAGGCCTGTCTCCTACACATCAGGGTCTGGGATCTGCTCTCTCTTGGCATTGCCTGGCCAGGCCATGGCTCAGGTATCTGACACCTGGGCCCTAGAGTCACATGCCAGGAAACTCTATACTCTTGGGCCCCAGGTCGCAGCTTCCAGCTGCTGCAAGCAAACAGAACTACTGAAGGAGGAAGTGGGTCTCCGGAGCCCACTGGCAAGGGAACTACTTCCGGGAGAAAGGCAGCAGCACAGGAGAGGACTCAGCCACTAACCAGGGTGAGAGGCGGGAAGGAGAAGGCAGACGAGGTGGAAGGTGAGCAGAACCAGGAGCACAGAACTGGGCAGGCTGGGGTAAATGCTTCCAGAAAAGGGAGTTGATGCTCACAGAAGGCGGGCCAGAGGTACCCGCTACCTACTTGTATAATCTGACTGGACACCCTGGGATCTATCACTAATATATCACTCTTGGGACACTAGGCCAACCAGACCTCCTGGAGTTTACCTGGCCTCTCTTGGCTGTCATCCAGGTATGTAGAGGACAAAAATATTTATTTCAATGAGGGAAAAGAATATGCAAGCAGAAGAAATAGCTTGGACTGCTTCCCCCCCACCCACCCAGGCTCATTTCAGGAGAGCAAAGGGACAAAAGGACCTCGTAGATTAGCCTAGACTCAATAGAACCCAAAAGTTTCAAGTGTAAGGGACTCCTTCCCCAAGGGTCCTGTTGAGGGGGGGGGGGGAATAGTCGGACAGACCAACTGACCTAGGACTAAGAAAGCCCCAAAAGGAGAGGCTTGGGTCCACAGACTCCACTGAGGGACTCTAGCAGGAGAAAGTTCAGTGGGACATAGAATTCTAACTTTGCTCTTCTGTCATAGGTTTGTCTACTTCCCAGCTTCTCCTCCAGTCCAGGATTATGTTTATCTGTGGCCATGCTCCTACTAGCTCCTCGCCTCCTGCCCCTCCTGCCCCTCCTGCTGGTGATAGGCACAGGGGGCTCTGTGCCCAGCCCCCAGACGCTGCCCCAGGGCTGCTACATAGCAGAAGAAGCCGGGGAACAGACATTCCGCTGCAGCAGGGCTGGTCTGAGTGCGGTGCCCAACGGTATCCCCAACGACACCCGAAAGCTTTACCTGGATGCCAACCAGCTGGCGTCAGTGCCAGCTGGAGCCTTCCAGCACCTGCCTGCCCTGGAGGAATTAGACCTGTCTCATAATGCTCTTGTTCATCTCTCAGGGGCTGCTTTCCAGGGCCTGGAGGCCACTCTGCGCCACCTCGACCTCTCTGCCAACCAGCTAGCATCTGTGCCTGTGGCAGCCTTCGTGGGGCTGCAGATCCAAGTGAACCTGTCCGCCAACCCATGGCGCTGCGACTGTGCCCTACAGGAAGTGCTCAGGCACGTGAGGTTGGCCCCAGGCTCTGGGACAGGCATTGTGTGTGGTCCAGAAGCCCGACCAGATCTCGTGGGACACGAGTTCCTTCTGCTCACCAGGGAGGAAGAGCTGTGTGGGACAGGACGAGGTGGGACCCGAAGGAGCACGGATGTGGCCCTGTTAGTCACCATGGGGGGCTGGCTGACACTGGTAGTGGCTTATCTGATCCGCTACGTGTGGCAGAACCGGGATGAGACGCGGCGCCCGGTCAAGCGGGCTCCTCCCGTGCAGCCTGTGCGTTCAGAGGACTCCTCCACGCTCAGCACAGTGCTCTGAAGACCGGAAGCACTCCATGCTCTTGGCCCTATGCCCTGGCCTTCAGTCTACTGCTCTTTCATCTCCTCTGCCCCATCTACCTCTATCCAGCCGTTCTCAAGCCAGGGATGGAGTGGGGGTGGGATGACCCTTTCACAGGGGGTCACATCAGATCTCCTGCATATCAGATATCTACATTATGATTCATAACAGTATCAAAATTACAGTTATGAAGAAGCAACAAAAGTGATTTTATGCCTGGGGGAATCACCACAACATGTATTGGCGGGATGCTGCATTAAGAAGGTTGAGAATCACGGTTCTATCTCTTCCTGCATCCCTAAATACCTTCTGTGGTGTCTGTGGTGTGTTCTCTCTCCCTCTCTCTCTCTCTCTCTCTCTCTCTCTCTCTCTCTCTCTCTCCCCCTCCCCCCTCTCTCTCTCATTCTCTGGAACACTTTGGTGCCTGGATTTGGGGGTACCTCCTTTTTGGGATTGTGCTAAACTCAGAAAATCCTGAGTTCCTGACTCCATGGGTAGCAGAATGAACAGCCATCTGAGTGTGTGGCAACCCAGAGAGAGCAGCTGGTGGCCATGGGAGCCTGTGCCTGGCCACAGGTGACCACAGAGGCCTCACCATACAGATGTGGGTAATGACCCCAAAAGAATGATGGCTTTGAAGAGGTTAGGGGGATGGTTCACAATCAAGTGTTTCCCCTGCAAGCATGAGAACCCGAGCTCTGATCTCTAATAGGCACTTAAAGTCCAGACATAGGGTGGGTGTCTGTAATTCCAGTGCTGGGGGTTGGGGGAGAGGCAAACAGAACCTGGAGCTCATTGGCTGGCGAGACTAACCAAACCCATAAGCTTCAGGTTCAGTGGGTCAACAGATGCTGGCCCAGAATAACAGAGAGAGCGACTGGTGAAGGGATTCAGTGACATCAACTGGTAGCCTTCAGGTGCAGCCACATGCACACACCCACACGAACACATGTAACATGTGCACACGCACACACAGAGAGACAGAGAGAGTCTGGCTTTGGGAAGAAGAGGCGGAGCGTACAAAAGACAGGATGCTATGAGAAGATTCGGAGCCTGTGGGTGGCCGGGGGGCAGCCTTGTGAGCAGGAGGGAGGGTGTGGAGAAGGGTGAGGGACGGTGGAAGCAATAGGGAGTGAGAACAGAAAGCAAAGTGCAGCCATATTGAGAAGGGCCTCTGGGCTCTTCCTCTGCTCCCTCTACCTCTCTTCCACCTTGCTTCCTCCTCTCTTCTGCCTCGATTCTCACCTCTCCCTTGTTCCCAAGCTCTTCTCCCTGGGTCCCCTATCAAGGTCCCCTACTTCCCCCCCCCCTTTGTGCTGTCCTCTCCTTTATACACTGACAGTTTCCCTGAGCCCGATGGATAGATAACTCCGTTGAACTGGGATGGGTAACAATTTGGGGGCTGAGCAGAGACCCTAGAACTTCATTGAACAACTCAGAAAAAAAAAAAAACAACCTTTTATGATCATGCTTGATCTGTTTCTCTTTGTTCATTTTACTGTGAATATGTGGTCTGGCGATGAGGAGCAGGAAGAATGTGGAGCCCTGCCCGCCACCTCCCCTCTCTGTGGGGTGCTTCCATTGAGCTACACAACCACCCATCGCTCTTCCTGCTTTGGGCCCTGAGTCCAGTAGTAGGAGCCAGAGTCTATGATGTAATGTGGATGGAAGAGAAAGTGTGAGGAAGGCTGGACAAGGTGGCCTGGCTTCTCCCATCTCCAGCCCTGCCCGGATTCAGGGAGAATAAAGAAGCAGGTTCTAGGATGTTAATGGGCCCGTGCAGCCATTGGGTAGCCTCACTGATGTTACATACTTATGGCCTGGCCGAGAAGAGAAAGGTAAGCTTTTCCAAGGGGCACAGTATGTCAGAACTAACCTCCTCTACCCGGATGTACCAGAGTTCAGCTATCCAGCTCACTCTAAGGCACGATTCCAGATACCTGGGGGTAGGCCCCAGCCGATCATGACTAGGCAACTTCCTGGAGCTGGCTGTCAGTGGAAAGGGGTAGAAACGGAGAAGAGGCCCCGAAGCCTTCCACCATCAGTATCTTCGCTCTGCTGGCTCCTCAGAGAGCCCTGGGAAATTCAGACCAAAGTAAGAAAGGTTTCTCCTCTAGGGAGTTCTGAACCCGATCAAGCTAAGCCATTCCCCTCACTGGAGGTGGTTGTCCAAAGCCTCCTCATCTGCAAAAGGGATTTAGTAGAAAGCAAGCCCCCAGTGCTGAAGCTGATGCCTGAAGCGAGGGCCACGAGAAGTGAAAAGAACAACTCTCCTGCTCTAGTGGGACAGAGGAGGGTAGGGCCAGGGTTGCAGCTAAGAGGAAAAGAGGGTCTAGGCTTCACCCACACCAATCACAGAAAGTTAAAAAAATATATATAAAGCCAGAATAGTTGAAGTGCATAGTGGCTAAAGGTATGGAAATGCTGGACAACCTTCTGTAGGAGGGACAAAGCAATAGGGACACTCCGCCCCAGACCCTGCCCTGCCCATGGTTCCCTGACCAGGGGTATCTGAAGAAGGAAGCAAGACAACAGGCCTCCAGAAAGCTCCAGGCTTCTGTGCCTGCGAGAAGAGGACCCTAAAGATGAAGGCATATAGAAGCCAGCTGCTACTGTCCGGCACCCAGACCTTATTCTGGGCCTGAACAAACGGGGTTTCAGAAGCTAAGGTGGAGGATGAGCGGTGATGCTGAAGGGCTTGATCCTGCGCTGGCCGACTTCTTGCAAAAGGAAGAAAAATATTCTAATCCGGGCCCAGTGCCGGGCTGCAGGTGCTGAAGGGCACTGATAGCAGGAAAAAGGCAGCAGGCAGAGTGGGCGGGGCTTGAGCTGTGTAAGGCGAAGTGGTTAGTAGGGGAGGGGCTTGACCTGAAGGGGCGGGGTCGAAGGGATGAGGTGGGGCGGGGCGGGGTGGGGTGGGGGAGAACAGAAGGAATGTGGGAAGTGGTCCTGAAGCCGGCTGGAGGGTCCTGAAGCCAGCTCGAGGGTTGGCTGGATAGCTCTGGGGCTCCGTTGTAGCCACCTAGAACAGAGGCGAAGCAGTTTTAGGGACCACCACCTTTGTGGTGACGCTATCTGGAGGCGGAGCTGGATGGACAATGACTCCAGGGCTGGGGAGAAGCAAAGAAAGGAACTGGGGAGGGGGGGCTGGTCACCCGAGGACCTGATTAAGGGGTACTGGGGAGGGAAAAGGTCTTAAATGAGGCCTTAACTGGGAGATTATCTTTAACCTCAACAAGAGGCTGCATCTTGCGCTTGCTCACCTCCCTCGGGAAGCTTCCTGAACTGCAAGACTATCTCATCTGCCTGGGGATAACCCGGGATTTTAAAGAGCCAACTGGTCTTGGAAGTGAGGCATGGAGGCAGTCCTCAAACAGCTGCTGGAGACTTCTAGCAAACTCTACTCCGAGCTGTCTCAGTCCTGGGGATCTGAGGCCCTTTTCTGGCCTCCATAAGCACTGCATGCATGTGGTGCACACTCATACACGAAATAAAAATAGATGAAATAAAATCAAAATGACCGGGTAGTGATGGCTCATGACTTTAATCCCAGCACCCGGGAGGGGAGACAGAGGCAGGTGAGTCTCTGAGTTTGAGGTCAATCTGGTTTACAGAGTGAGTTCCAGGACAGCTAGGGCTACTGAGAAACCCAGTCTCAAAAAACCAAAATAAGTAAAATGACAAAACCTAGGTATGGTGGCATACATCTATAATCCTAGTACTGGGGGAAATCTGAAGTGAAAAACTGCCAAGAATTTCAAGCCTGTCTAGGTTATATAACAATACTCTGTCACAAAACAAAGAAAAATTTTTAAAAGAGTTAAACTGGTCTTGTCGGTGAACCTGCAATTCTAGCACTTGGGAGCCCAGGGCAGGAAGACCAGAGGAATTCGAGGCAGTTAATGCAGAGGTCATAGTGGGTAACCATGCTAAGATTGTGACTCTTAAGTGCTCAGCCCCAAATGGGATATCTATATCAACCCCGCCCCAAGGATCCAGAACATCATGGAAGAAGCAGAAAGAACGGAAGAGCCAGAAGTGTGGACGGGTGCTATGGAATGTCTTCTGGACATGACACCACTGTTGCATCTAGATAGGACCTGCATGACCACAGCGACAGGATCAGCCAGTATCCCAGCAGCCAGCACTGAGTGCAGTATCCCAGCAGCCAGTGCTGAGTGCAGTCAGGGAGTTTCAGGAAGCAATGGATGGAGAGAGGGAGCAAGGGAGGGAGGGAGAGACAGACAGACAGACAGACAGACACAGACACAGAGGACATGAAGTGAGGAAGGGGACATGATGTTGGGGATTGCCTGGGAGAGTGGGGAAGAGTGGAGGTGTGTATAACGAAAATACCTTAACAAGTACTAATTGTCGGGCTGGAGAGATGGCTCAGTGGTTAAGAGCACTGACTGCACTTCCAGAGGTCCTGAGTTCAAATCCCAGCAACCACATGGTGGCTCACAACCATCTGTAATGAGATCTGATGCCCTCTTCTGGTGTGTCTGAAGACAGCTACAGTGTATTCATATATAATAAATAAATCTTTAAAAAAAAAAAAAAAAAAACAAGTACTAATTGTCATACAATAAAGGAAAGATATTCTACTACCAAAAGCACAACAAATAAAAACTCATGGTGAGGGGCTGGAGAGATGGCTCAGGGGCTAAAAGCATTTTCTGCTCTTTTAGAGGATGTCCGTTTGATTTCCAGCCCCCACATGGCAGCTTACAACTGTATGTAATTCCAGTTCCAGGAGATCTGATGCCCCCTTCTGGCCTCTGAGGGTACCAGGCACCTACATGGTGCTATGCATACACCTATACTCACAAAATCAGAACAAACATAAAGGCAGAGGTGAGAAAGACAGCTCTGGGGTTACGGCATTTGTTCTGAAAGCAGAAGCCACTGGCAGTAGAGCTTGGATCCCCTGATCTATGTAAATGTTGGGCGGCACAGTGGTTTACCTGTAATCCCAG